GGCGGTTAATTGGAGATAAGAGTCTCACAGACTTTCTTGCATAGGCTGATTTGAACCATGATCCTCAGATCTCAGCCTCCTTAGGATTATAGGGTGAGCCACTGGCACTTGGCCCAACTTAATTTTTTTTTAAAGTGGTCATCATACTTTTTTGTTTAACACACAAGACTTTTTAAAGAAAGAATCTATGTAAGGATGTAGATTAAAAAAGTATTTTTACCATAAGAACATGGTGGCTAACAATACAGGGGCCACTAATATAGTCGTATTGGCAGTTGGTGCCACTGCTTTATTGGTGCCAAGGCACTATGAGTGTCACCTACCAGTGCTTTTGTACCATTGCTATCTCTCTTAGCATGTGTAATGCCATTTATTATGTATGAATGGACAGATTATTGGAGTCTTCAATCCTCCCCCCCCCCAGGTTATTGGTATTCATAATTCTCTTTTAATCCTTTGTGTTGTAGATGTTACAATGCTAAAAACTGGTCTTCTCAAGGAGGAAGAGGAAGATGATCAGGCAGGCAGTAGTCACAATCTACCACTTGTAACATCCCAAAGGCCATTTTATGATGGGCCCATGCCAACTCCCCGACAAAAGCCCTTCCAGTCAGGTTCTACACCCCTACATCTTACTCACAGATTCATGGTAAGCCTTCAATGTACAATCAAGTTTTAAAATAGCTTTTCAAGCCGAGTGGCAGTGCCTTACTCCTATAATCCTAGCTACTCAGGAGGCTGATTTTGGTTTGAAGCCAGCCTGGACAGGAAAGTCTATGAGACTTTTATCTCTAGTTAACCAGCAAAAAGCTGGAAGTGGAGCTGTTGCTCAAGTGGTAGGTGGTATCTTTGTATGGGAAAAAAAATCTCAGGGACAGTGCCCAGGCTTTGAGTTCAAGCCCCAGGGTAGGCACACACAAAACACAAAAGTGTTGTTTGCAGTAAAGGAGGAGGGGGCAGGGAAGAGGGGGGAGGAGGAGGAGGATAGCAGTGTAGGGATTTTTTGTTTTTTTGTTTTTGTGGGGGTTTTTGTCAGTCATGGTGCTTAGACTCAGGGTCTGAGCACACTGTCCCTGAGCTCTTTTGCTCAAGGCTAGCATTTTACCACTTTGAGCCACAGCTCTACTTCTGTTTTTTGGTTAATTGGAGATAAGAGTCTCATGGACTTTCCTACCTGGCCTGGCTTTGATTGTCAGATGTCAGCCTCCTGAACCACTGGTACCTGGCCAGTGTAGTTTTTTTTTTAAATGCTAAAATAAATAGGTATATATGGTCATATATATATATTAGCTGCCTTGCCTAATAAATATACATAAAAGTATGTACTTTCCCACGAATAAAGAATATTAGTCATTGTAAATTTTTTGTACAATTGTAGCTCAATTGGTAATTGATGTTACTCTTGTTGCCTAAAACTATAGTTTGATGTGATAACACCCGTAACTTAAACATTGGTATAGTATGAATTGTAATATTATTAATTGGTAGTATTATAGTTGCTAATTCTAAAAATTTCAGCCTTTCTTAGACTTCAATCTTATCTATTTGTAGGTATGGAATTCTATTGGAATTATTCGTTGTTATAATGATGAGCAAGACAATGCCATAGACGTAGAGTTTCATGATACCTCCATACACCATGCAACACACCTATCAAACAGTTTGAATTATACAGTAGCAGATCTTTCCCATGAAGCTATTTTGTTGGCGAGTGAAAGCACTGATGAACTAGCAAGGTAAATTCAAGATTATGAAACAGTTCAGCACTGTTAAGTTGTTAATTATATTTTTTAAATGAAATCCAGAAGGAATTTTTGGTACATACACCAGCACACTAATAATACCTCTGAACGTGTCTGTTTTCTCTAATTGTTTCCTCATGACATTCTCTAATTGCATACCAAAGCAATGTATGTAAATTGTAATATGAGATGTGGAATTACTTTCACATTGTTAGTGCTGTTACTACTATTATAGATTTGTTGACAATGGAATACAGATGACTAGAAAAAGAAAGTTCCTTCTAGAATCCTGTTCTCAGATATAAGTACTATTAACAGTCAGATGCATATCTTTGAAGCCATATTAGTGTGTTATGAATCTTTTTAAAGTTTACTGTATTGCAGTATAATTTATATGCAATAAAATGTACTCATGTATAGTTTTGAGTTGACAGATACGTATATATTGAGGTATGACTACTGTAATCAAAACAGATTTTTTTTTCTACTATACTGGGGTTTGAACTCAGGGTTTTATGGATGGCATTCTATGATATGAGCTATACTCCCTAACTCCTTTTTGTTATTTTTTGAAAACAGAGTTCTATAATTATGCCTAGGCCAGTCTGGATGGCAGTCTTCTAACTTATACTTCCCCCTTATTGGGAAAATAGGTATATACTACATCAGCTTTTTACTGGCTAAGATGAGATCTTCTGATCTGTCTCCAGAATAACTGTTAGAATATACTGATGGGTGCCATCATATAATATTCTTTATATTTTAAGTAAAATCTGTTTTCTCTTATTGTTTTGTTGTTAATTCATTTCTAGCTTTAGAACTGATGATGTTTTTCCACTATAGATTATATTTGAAATCGCTTTGAAAAAGAAATTTTTTATGTATCTTCTTTATAGCATGTACTAATTATACAAAGGAGTTTCATTGTGCTATTTCTATGTTTGTATTGTGTACTTTGATCATATTCACCCTTTCTGAGAAAGTAATTTTAAGAAACATTTCCAAATATTCCATTTATCAATTGCTCTTTCTCTTGACGCTTCAGATTCCTTTATATGTTTTAATAGGTAGGTAAGGAGACAGACAGAAAAATAGATGTAGATATAGAATTTTTTTTGAAAAAACACTTCTCATTTTTTATATTATAAATTTCTCTCTTTAAACTTATTTTATTGTGGACCCCTTGGGCTTTGACAGATCTCTTTTCTTGATACATTTGATGGATTTTTACCATCTCCCAGGTAATTTGAAATTAAAATATTTCTGATGAGATATATTTGTTCCTTGTTGCTATAATGGTCCACAATCTAGGGGTGTTAGTCACTTGGGAGTTAAATAAGTTAAAGCATCCAGTGGCTTAATGGTTTTATGTATTTCATTTTAAGGATAGTTCATGGGGCTGGATTGTATAGCTCAGTGATACTGCAGTTGCCTAGCATGCTGGAGACAGTGGGTCTGCCCCAGCTTAGGGATAGGAAGGAAAGGAGAAGGAAATTGAGAGGTCATAATTATTAACTTGGATTGTTTCTGTCTTGTTTAATTTTTAGCAAGCTTCACTGCCTACACTTCAGCTCTTGGGATTCAAGCAAAGAGTGGATGGTAGATATGCCTCAGCATGAGGATATTGAAGCCATTTGTCTTGGTCAGGGATGGGCTGCTGCCGCCACTAGTGCCTTGCTTCTTCGATTGTTTTCTATTGGAGGTGTTCAGAAAGAGATCTTCAGCCTTCCTGGGCCTGTGGTATCAATGGCAGGACATGGAGAACAGCTTTTAATTGTTTTTCATAGAGGTAGGATTTTTTCCCAGTTTTATAATTTGACTAGTAAGATGGAAATTACTTGAGCTTTTCTGTTGTTGCTCTCTTTTTTTGGATAATATATACACCTCCTTTTTGCCTTTAGTGTTTGCATAAGTGAAGTCTTTGCAGAAAATTCTGTTGTATTTACTAATAGTAGTAAAAACAACATCTTATTTGTAGACTGTATTAAAGAGAAGATTTCAAGATGGAGTCTGGTTATTTCTATGCTTAAACCTTATCCTTTGGCAAGCACATCTTTCAGAGTTTAAATGCCTAAAAGATAAACCATTCTTTTAGTATGTAGGATCAAACAAAACAACCACAAAAAGCCAGAAGTAGGGGTTAGAGTCGTGGCTCAGTAGGTAGAGTGCTAACCAATGACCCAAAGTATCAGGTACCGAGTTTGAGTCCCTGTCTCAGACCTTAATAAAATAAAGAAAAAGCCCAAAGTAGAGTTGTAGCTCAAGTGGTGGAGCACCAGCCTTAAGTGAAAAAGCTCAGGGACAGCACCCAGGCCATGAGTTCAAGCCCCAGGACCAATATCAAAAAAAAGTCTGTGGACAATATTCACTCTTAGATTTCGTTTTTCTTTAGTATTGGTTAGAACTGTAAATTGGCATTATGAGATATAGGACAAACGTAGTTTGAGAAACTACTCTGGAATTTTATAAAAAACCACAGTTATAAATATATCTGTGGTCCATGACTTCTAAGTTGGTATCACCAAGACCTATCTTACTCTATCTCCAGGCTCAAGCATCCAATTGAAATCTGAAAATGGAGGGTTTTTTTTTTGTTATTTTGTTATTTCTGTCAGTCATGGTGCTTGAACTCTGGGCCTGGACACTGTCCTTCAGCTCTTCAGCTCAAGGCTAGCGCTCTACCACTTGAGCCATAGTGCCACTTCTGGCTTTTTTTGTGTATGTGGTGCTGAGGAATGGAACCCAGGACCTCATGCACAGAAGGCAAGCACTCTACCACTGAACCACCTTTCCAGCCCTGAATATGGAGTTTTAATAGTTGGAACTTAACTTCGTCATAATAAAGCCCTATTGCTTTTCCTTCTAAACTTGCTTTTTGCATAGTTTCTTTATTTTAGTAAATGCCTAACAATCCACTTGGTAAGGCCAAACTCCATCAATAAAGTCTTTCATCATGTCAATTCTTTTTTTTTTTTTCAAATTTTTTATTGTGATTAAGTGGTTACATTATTTCCCAAATTTCACAGTATTGTGGGATAGTGATGCTTAGTTAAAGTCACAAACACATTCTAACCTTCATGGAGCAAATTGTCTGTCATGGTCTATAACATTTATGAGTTCTATGAGCTTTGTGATACACTTATTTCTTCCACATTGAGTGATATACATTTCTTTTGTTTTGCATAGCTGTTCCCTCTTTCCTACTTGTTCCCTCTCTTCCATCGCTGCCGTGGAGTTGCTTAGTTCATTTTGGTCAATGTCCAGTGCAGCTGATGGGTCCCACTGTTGTACTGATTCCCTATAGTTCTGTGTCGTCCTCCTGGTTTCCCTCCAGTATGCATATATATACTATACATGTCATCAGTAGCATGGGTTTATTTAGTAGTGATTCGACCAGATGAGTGGAAATCCTTTGTTTCTTAAGTCCTGTTAAATTTGTCGCATCACCTAACATTTTGGATTTAACATCCATTTATCAAGGAGACCATGTGCCGTTTGTCTCTTTGTACTTGGCTTACCTCGCTCAACATGATTTCTTCTAGTTCCATCCATTTCCCTGAAAATGCCATTATTTTGTCGTTTCTAATGGCTGCATAATATTCCATTGTGTATAGATACCACAATTTTTGGATCCATTTATCTGTGGTGGGACATCTGGGTTGTGTCCATATCCTGGCTATTGTGAACAGTGCTGCAATAAACATGGAGGTGCATGTGTCCTTGTATACTGGTTCCTGTTGTTCAGGATAGATACCTAGAAGTGGTATGACTGGATCATAAAGGCGGTCAACATTTAGCTTTCTGAGGACCCTCCAGACTACAGTCTCTCTCCAATTTGTTGTTGACCCTGGGACTCTGTTCAGGAAGTTCCTTCCTGTGCCTATAAGTTCAAGTATCTCTCCTACTCTGTCCTGCAGTAGTTTCAGAGATTCAGGTTTGATGTTAAGGTCTTTAATTCATTTTGAGTTTCATCATGTCAATTCTATGAAATAACACATTCCAACTATGGCTCATTTTATTTCCTGTATTTACACTCTAGTCCAACCTGTATGTTATATCTTAGATTATCATAGTAGTCTCTTAACTAACTTTTCAACGTCAAGTTTTGCCTTTTAGCATCTATCCACGTGGCTGCTTGGGTGACCTTTTCCAAACAGGTCATTTCCCTCTTCTTCAATCTTTCCTGACTTACTAGAATAACAGTTACGCTATTTATGGTAGATGGCAAGTTGATCTACTGTGATCTGTTGCATAATCTGATCTACTGTGATCTGTTGCACCATCTGGCCTCTACCTGTCCCTTAAATTCATCTTTTGCCCCTTTCTTTCATTACCGTTTTCTTGCTATTCTGGCCATTTTGGTTTTGAGTTGAACTCTCTATACCTGCCTTAGGACCATTCTGTTAAGCTGTTCCTTCTACTTACTACAGTGTGCCTTCCCCTAACATTTGCATGGCCAGCCCCACATTGTAATTGGTATATAACTTAAGTTTTCCTTCCTTCCTTCCTTCCTTCCTTCCTCCCTCCCT